TGGTTCTTGTTTGTCTCTGTATTGGTTGGAATGGAACAAACATCGCGCTCTGTCCTCTAGCTCAATTAGCTCGATCATCTCTCTATATGTATATTGGGGAGAATAAATATTTTATACCTTTATTTTATTATTTATTTGATCAACACAACGCATAATATCAACACACAAACACAACCAACACACAACAACACAAGCATACAACACACAACACACAACAAACACAACACACAATACAACAACACAACAAACACAACACACAATACAACAACATAACAAACACAACACACAACAGACACACAACACACAACTGGGTCAGCTAGAGCCAAGTTAAAAATCTCTAATCATGACAAATGTGCTCTAAATAAATCACTGAATCAATCAATCAAATCATCTAATCAAATAAATCATTGTATCAATTAAATCACTGAATCACAACACATAACACAACACACACAACAATGAAAATACACATCATAATATAACCCTATATTTATGAATTATTGTTATGTTTTATAGCTTTGTTGTTAAATATTCCCTATCTGTAAATAATTTGTTAGTTTTAATTATAGTCTCCTAGTCATGCTGACGTCATAAATATCTTCTGCTTTATCATTGTGATCTGCCTACATCATCACTTACAATATATACGTCAACGTAGGTACCTATAAGTTGGATAACCACCCGGAGCAGTATATTGCTGCTCCCTCTCCATACATGGCCACCCCCCACTTCCCTCAACTTTACTCTGGAATCTTGGCCTTGTCATCCAACTTACAGGATATAAAGAGCAAGCATCAGCGCCTAGTACTCGAAGCTTTACTCACTAAATAACTCAGAGGAATCAATAGATCCATAGAGTTGTCCGACATATACCATAGTATACTATAAAGTTAAGTGCCAGGAGAAAATGATTTTTTATTAATCGACTACACGAGCTTTCGGGCAGTCACGCCCTTCAACTGGTAATGATACATGATGGCAATAGGCCTTAAATAGGATTCCGTTTTTAAAGAGATATTTTTACATATGAGAAAAATAATATAGGACGGCTAAAAATATAGCCGTCCTATATTATTTTTCTCATATGTAAAAATATCTCTTTAAAAACGGAATCCTATTTAAGGCCTATTGCCATCATGTATCATTACCAGTTGAAGGGCGTGACTGCCCGAAAGCTCGTGTAGTCGATTAATAAAAAATCATTTTCTCCTGGCACTTAACTTTATAGTATTTATATTCCAAGGAGAAAGTTTCTATGTTTAAATAAATACCATAGTATAATTCCTACTACCTAAATCTCCGGCTTCCCATTTTGTTATTTACTGTGATTACATAACCTCAATATAGAATTAGCATTAACCAATAATTCATTTTTTTAAAACTGTACTATGTAAATCAATTTTTTGCATATCTGTCTTATATGTCCTGCTTCGTTGTATATATATAGATTAGATTCGGAAAACTTCAGTAACGTAGTTATACCTATCGAAGGGCTGTTGAGCCGAAAACTTGTATTGTCGATATACAATATATAAAAGAAACTATGTATATAAAAGAAACTTTTCCCTCGGCGAATTGTCTTTTATTAATAACTAGCCGAATGACCCGGGCAACGCCCGGGTTTTACCCAATCAAATGCTTTTATTCAAATATTATTCGTTACAATTATAAATTGGCGCCGTGGATGTCATTCTTGTATAATATATAAATGATTTTAAAAATTGTAAAAAAAAAAAAAATCACCGGCCGGGAATCGAACCCGCCCGCCCGCGTGGCTGGCGAGCATTCTACCACTGAACCACCGATGGTTATGAGAAATGGCCATATTTGGGTATTTATTCCATTCACAAAGCAAACGGTGACAGAATTGATTAAGAATTGTTGCTTGATTATGACGCTGATAACTATTTTTCTTAATTATACCGAATGTATTATATTAATAACAAGTTCTAATTTTACAGTATCTACTAAAATCCCAGCTTATTGTCAAATCCCAAATGTTCCAACAAAGCTGTGCAGGCTCCTGCTAAGGCCCAATGGCACGGAGGTCTGACGGGCTTCTATGTGGGCTACCGGCCAGACACGGCGTCGGGAGAAGCCCCTCTGTACAAGACGGTGGAATGGTCGGGGCAGGGTCCCCTGGAAGCCCACCTCACCAATCTCCGTCGCTCCACGGGATACCGCGTGGCTGTCCAGGCCTTCAACGGCAAGGGCGCCGGACCTGCCAGCGAGGAGGTGTCCGTACGGACTTTAGAGGATGGTGCGTTATGTAGATATGTTTTTTTTCTTAAATTAATTCCAACTAGGCGTTATTTAGAACAAGCCGAGATGGTACATCGAGTTCAAGACAGAGATGGCTGGCGTCGTGTTTGGGATGTAATACGTACAGTGGGCCACAACGTTCGATCGCAAATAAAATGATTTATAAAATCTTACTTCGAACAAGAAATTTGTTGTCACATATAAACTACTCTATGGATTTCTTACCATCAGCATATGGTCCGAAGACTAATTGTTATCATAGAGAATTATCAGGTAATAAAATGAAATACATAGCAATATAACATCTATATAATACAAATTAAAACATCAAAAGGCCAATGTTTCTTTTCACAAATAAATCAAACTTCTACTACCCTTACTGCGATGAAAATATATTGGAAGAACTTGGCTCATCAGTGGTGAACCCTCCCAGCGGCTTCGTCAATATAATCTACCAGACCGCTTCTTTAGAGCTCTAATACTGTATTGGATCATTCTGCTTTTATATGTAACACTAAATGGTGGAATCTTAGAAATGTTATTTAAGCAAACTATGGACATAAGCTTTTAGGACAGTAGAATTACATATAAATATTTGCATCGAGCAATTATATTCCGAAAAAAAAATAAGGACAATTCAGTTAGGCATAAATTAAAACAAAGCAATAACGCACCATCTATATAATACAAATGAAAACACCAAAACGCGAATGTTTCTTTTCACAAATAAATCAAACTTCTACTGTCCTTACTTCGATGAAAAAAATTTGGGATAGCTTGGCTCATCTCATCCCTTCTTATCATTTTGGTGTTTTAATTTGTATAATAGAATGAAATACCTAAATATATTTCAAAATACAAATTTTAAATATAATTTGTGTAACATATTAGAAAATAAAGTGATAAAAAAGAATAGAATAAAAGAGGATGTTATCTAGGCACTCTATTGTCTAGAGTCCTTCTAGGCGATACGTGAATTGGACAATTCTCGCTCCTAGACAATTGACAATTAAAATAATTTTATTGACATATTGTCATTACATGAAAAGTGCACAGTCTGCACTATGCCTAGATGTGTAGAGGCTTTTATTTCTCCTGGCAAACTTTTGATGAGAGTAGGTTTAGAAAGCCGGAGGAAGGTTCTCGGTAAATCATATATATTACCACATTGTTCAACATTCGTACTTCTATGTGAAACGAGCTCCTGAAATTCAGATACAGGCGTCTGTGATTGAAGAATTTCGAGGCATTTAGAGCTTTGAACATCACTTCAGCTTTGTGGCTGAATCCAACAGCCAACTTGGCAGTGGAACAGAGTCTGTGTGCAGTTCCTCCCAGCGCCCCCTCTCTGGAGGTGACCTCCACGACCACCTCTTCCGTCACTGTGGCCTGGACCCAGAAAACTGCCTTCGGGAACACTGTCAAAGGTAGATCATCAACTCACTGATCCCTTAGTTTATGATGTTTCCTTGATCTACTTCTTTGGCTGTTCTAAAATAATAGATGTATACCTTGTCATGCTAGAGATTGTGATGGTCTAATTCTTGGACCGGGAATTGTGACGACTTTCCTGTCAAAGGTACATCATCACTATCAAAGATAGGATCATCAACTCACTGATCCCATAGTTTATAAATGTTTCCATGATCTACTTCTTTGGCTGTTCTAAAACATAGATGTATACCTTGTCGTGCTAGATATTGTGATGGTCTAATTATTAGACCGAAATTTGCGACGACTTTCCTGCCTGATAGTCCAACCGACATGTCCCAATCCTGTCGCAACAACCGAAAATATGTAAATATGTCATAACAGCATATATGAGAATCTGAAATTTTCAATATATTGTGGCGAAGAAATAATTTATATTTTATTATTTAATTTAATCATTTATTTATTTATTTAAAAGTTGCAAAGACACGCCATAACCACAATTAGGAAACTTGCGTGTAAATCTGAAATTATATAAAAATCAAATCATCGTAAAATTAATATAGTTAAACATTGGGAAGCCCGCAAATTACACATTCGATGTCAAATTTTGCATATAGTAATTAGATTATTCAATGAAAACATTTAACACAGAATTGTGTGTGATTACTATGAATTTGTGAAATCATCATACATGGTTCTTAGCTTACTTACTCAATATTCTCTAGCTGTAGATAGTTGTTCTTGTTTGATAATTGTCCACTGGTCGTACTGACGTCATCAATAAATACTTTCATATCTTCAGATATCCGAATACTGATTTCTACGCTACAATATTTATCCTTATATGAATGGATTATTAACTGGTCTTTCCCTAATTCAACAAAGCTGGTGCTGCACAATATCTGAAACTGTGTCCTCTACAGTAATATCATCTCGGTACATTTATTCTGTAGTAAAGGTTTGCATTTATAATTGCAGATATATATATATACAATTGTTCACAATTACTCTGTTGTACATATATATATGTAGATAGAACAACAATAAGTATGTGTAATATTATATATATTAGCTGTATATATATACTAAAAATAAAAGTGTCCAGGGGCAGGAATCGAACCCACAACCTTCTGCTTACCGGGCAGGTGCCATGTCCACTAGGCTACCCTGGACGTATTTTTCCGTTCGTAACTAATACTTAAAGTAACTTATAATACATTATAAATGTATTATTATCATACGCCTCAGTCATTTATAATGTATTATAAGTTACTTTATGTATTAGTTACGAACGGAAAAATACGTCCAGGGTAGCCTAGTGGACATGGCACCTGGGCAGAAGGTTGTGGGTTCGATTCCCGCCCCTGGACACCTTTATTTTTCCGTTCGCCATTACTCTTCATACTAAAAATGTAATATTTAACTGTAATATTTCATTGGTCTTGTAGAACGAGACACGCGTTCTCCCATGTTTTAGTGAGAAACATCCTCGATAAAGAGAAGCGAGTCACCCTTCGAAATATCGGAATAATAAAAAATATTTATAAATCCAATATATGCATATTTTCTGAATATATATATATATTATATATAATATATATATTTTTTTTCCAGGATGAAATTCATCTATAACAATAAAAGTCGTATTTCCTTTCAAAATAGACGCTAAATCTAAACACTATCTATTGACCGTCTCCGTAAACTGTTGTAGCTTTGTCACCAGCCCGAGTCCACTAGTAGGCTGAAATGGTTAATAGTTGGCGCTTAGCTTTATATCTATGTGTATTTTTTTATTGAGAACGCGATCTACGTAATCGAGAAGTTTACGTCAATACAGAGTGATAGATTGCAAGTATTCACAATTGTATGATTATAGAACGACGTTTAAACAAGTTTTACCACAAATTTTTCTTTTTTACAGAACAAAAAATCGTAATTTATTTTAAGGAGAAATATCAACTATTCCTATCCTTAGGGATGAAGTATGAAAGGATGAATTAAGAAGAGTAATAATGAATAGAAAAATAAAGTGTCCAGGGATGGGGAAATGTGCAGTAAAATTTGCTAAACGTCGTTCTATAAGCATAGCCGCATTATATTGTATTACAAATTGTATAATAACAAAAGAAGAGTAAATCTTCCGCCAAGAGATCAACACCATAGAGGTCCGTACGTCTCTTGACCTCACGGACAATACAGCAGCTACATTATTTGGTTCATTTTGTCTCCTCTCTAATTGTAAAGATGTTGCTGTATCACCTCATAAGCATAAATAAATAAATAAAGAGTAAATCTGATGTGTAAATAAATCCCTTTTCAAACAAAGACTCACTTGCACATGGGGAAAGGGAGAAAAATATTGCTGTATTGTTTTGTTGTTGTATGGCGAATCCATATAGGGAAATGGGCCCTAATAAAAGCCTTTTTGTTGTTGTTGTTTGTTGAGTAAATCTGAAGAGATAAAGTCCTGTACTTTTAAAGCTAGTAAGAATATCAGAAATATGTGTACAAAAATCTTTAAATATTTTATACTTTCTCTATAATTTTAATGACTCGATTGTTCTTGGCAGATCAGGTTATTGAATAGATATGTTGATACCTTTCTTCATCTTTATTTTGAAATCCATCAGTACACACACACACACCACACACACACTTCAGAAACAAAAATTGAAGATCAAGAAATTTCAAATAATTGTATTGTATTAGGAATAACAATCTTGATAATTTAAAAAAAATCGGTATTCGGTTTGAAAAAGCGTTAATTTATTTTATTAACTACAATAGTTATAAATTGTTTGTTTTTAAAAAGAATCAGGGGTCTTTAATAGTCTCGAATTTTCATAACATGGCGCGCTAATGCATCATAATATAATTGCTATAATAAAAAAAACTCAATTTGATATTTGCGGAAGAGCGATTGCTCGAAGCATATTATATACAGTATTTATAATTGTATTCATTTCTACTGTCCTCAGAGCTAATGTCCATAGTTCATTTAAAATACCTATTCCAAGAGTCTAACAACAGTATCACTATGAAAGGAAGACCGAAAAATACAATATAACAGCAGTATGGTAGATTAAACTGGCGAAACCGCTGGAAATGTTCACCACTAATGAGCAGGTCCCTCCCATTAATATTTCATTGCAGTAAGGGCAGTAGAAATTGTTTAATTTTTAAAAGAATCATACGTGTCTATAATAGTTTAGAATTTCCATAACAGATGGCGTGTGTGCTAATGCATCATAACTATAATAATAACATATTCATGCAAATCTTTGATATGAATAAACTCTCGTCATCTCTGTACTTGCTAAAACCAGGGCACTCTAGCCACAGGTGTCTTCAATCCTGTGTCTCTTCACCGCAGTAACAACCTTCCACTGCTCGATCGATGTCAAAAATTTCCTAAATTTTCATGGTCCATTATAAATTGAATTTTGTAGAAACTTGGACGGAAATAGAATAGAATACCACAAGGGAAAACGTTTTGAAATGTTTCATTTATCCCAGCAAATATTATATCCATTTTTAAACTTTAAAATGATTCAATTATACTGGAGATAAATGTGGTTTATAAAAATTATGATCAAGTATTGAAAGGTTGAGCCAAATCATATTTTATTGTTATGGAATCGATATAGTCTGTGTAGGAATATTTGCGAGGCTATGGGCAAAATTAGATGAGGTAGTTTTATATGCACGAATTGATCATAGAATAAATTTACACTGCATTGTATTTAAATTTTGCCTACATTGATTAAAATTAATTATGTCCAAGTATGGAATGCTCTATTTTAAATATAAATAGATTTGAGAACGACAGGATTATAAGATGATAAATTATTATTTTATTTCATATTGGTATTTTTGACAATACATCCAGATGGCACAAGAACCTACAGGACATGCAACAACTGTCCTGGTGTGGAACTAACACCTACTCACATATTCTCATGCCCAGCAATGGCCGCAGCCTTGAAGAAAATTGACATGGACCCAGAGCAGCAGCTTTACACACCCAAGATAATGGACATTGCTGCTGCTGTGATAGAGATGTATGGATACATCTGGGTCTCTTCATTGGACATGGCAACAACAACACAGTATACGCACCCAAGATAGAGGAAATTGCGACTGCTGTGATAGAGATGCCTGGAGACATCCGAGGCTCTTCATTGGACACGACAACAACAACAACACAGTATACACACCCAAGATAGAGGACATTGCGACTGCTGTGATAGAGATGAATGGAGACATCTGAGGCTCTTCTTTGGACACGACGACAACAACAACACAGTATACACACCCAAGATAGAGGACATTGCTACTGCTGTGATAGAGATGTATGGAGACATCTGAGTTTCTTCATTGGACACGACGACAACAACAAAACAGTATACACACCCAAGATAGAGGACATTGCGACTGCTGTGATAGAGATGTATGAAGACATCTGAGTTTCTTCATTGGACACGACAACAACAACAATACAGTATACACACCCAAGATAGAGGACATTGCGACTGCTGTGATAGAGATGTATGAAGACATCTGAGTTTCTTCATTGGACACGACGACAACAACAAAACAGTATACACATTCAAGATAGTGGACATTGCTACTGCTGTGATAGAGATGTATGAAGACATCTGAGTTTCTTCATTGGACACGACGACAACAACAAAACAGTATACACATTCAAGATAGAGGACATTGCGACTGCTGTGATAGAGATGTATGAAGACATCTGAGTTTCTTCATTGGACACGACGACAACAACAAAACAGTATACACATTCAAGATAGAGGACATTGCGACTGCTGTGATAGAGATGTATGAAGACATCAGAGTTTCTTCATTGGACACGACAACAACAACAATACAGTATACACATCCAAGATAGAGGACATTGCGACTGCTGTGATAGAGATGCATGGAGACATCTGAGGCTCTTCATTTGAAACGACAACAACAACATTGGTATTTTCATGAGAGGTATTCTTAATATCTGTAAAATTCGGAGGGAGTTGCCCCTAAAAGAGTTAGGTTTTTCGATCAATGTTGATAACTCCAATGAGCTTCCATTATTGTCTTGTTATCGTCTCTGGAAACTTACTTCCAACCACCCGGTAATCCACATTCAATATGTGAAACCATCACGATGCTCACCCCCTGCGTTATATTGCCGGCATCTAAACCGCCGCTCTCTGAGACAAAAATCCACAACACCTCCCTGAGGCAGAACTAATAGGCAGCGGAATGTTGCAATTACCGCAGAATTTCTATCCCAAACTTTCGGTTCAACACCTTTGAACTCCAATAAAACGAATTGATGAAACGCAATATTGCCTTTAAAACCTAATTGACGTGATGATTAAAGGCTTCGCCAATTAAATTAAGACTTTATTTGATGGCTTTTCCTTGGAGTCAGCCAGCCTTTCGGGCCGTTTAGGCTGAACTGAATCGTTATCCCGCGTCCAATAAGCCAGGCGAGAAATGGAATGTTCTAAATTGGATATAGAATCTACCTACGACCGTTAAAGCCAGGAAATCTCAAATAAATTACAATTAGGAATGTAAAATCTCTAAACATTCTTCTAATGATAATTAAATAAGACTTCACGCTATTCTATCTCAACCAATTAGAATCTGTGAATTCAAACCAATTAGAGAAAAAGTAATTTGAATGATCTAGTTACAACGTTGTATCCTGAAAGAGTTGAGTTTACAAGATGGATAATTAGCTTGATACTTTGCCTCTAATTGCCGAGAAAGAAACAAATGGAAGAAAATTTATGAAATACGTTTATAAATATATGTTCAAATTATATAATTGCTCGCTATTAAAATGATATATGTTTGAATTTTGTATAACAAGTGGGATAACTAGTCGTCTGGTAAAGAATTATTTGCGACCGTTTTAAGAAGATAGTTCAATTTATATAAGGAATAACTAAAGAGACAAAGGTCGCCTCTCCCGTCAAAACCAGACGCCATCTATTGAACGTCGCCGCAAACTAGCGGCCTCGGGTTGGTGACAAAGCGTCCACCAAGAGACCATGGTTTCGGGCTAATGGCCCTCGTCAGTCTAGGGCGGGCTTTATTCCATGAGATCCACACGGGATCTAATGGAATCTTGACAATCTGCCAAAGAGGTGTTTAGCTGGCAAAGTGGCTGGGCAAAATCTATGGCTAAAATATAGATGGAAATTTGTCCAGGAGGATAATGATCTAAAGAGACAAAGGTCGCCTCTCCCGTCAAAATAGACGTCAAAACCAGACGCCATCTATTGACAAAAAATAACGAATCAATATATTTTAATGTTCTTTTTTATCTCTCTGACTGATGTACACCTAGGTC